GAAAGAAAGAAAAGAAGAGTGAAAAAAGGTGTTGGTTGTCCGGTGACGGTGGCGGTGATGACAGGAACAACAGCAAAAGTGAGACATAGAGGAAGCAAAGAATAACAAAGATAGATAGAAAGAGATTGAGAAGCGAGTGATCCGGGTGGATAGAGAGCGGAAATGAATAGCTCAGCGGGTGGTGACAGGTGGTGGTGACGGTGGTGTTGATAGTGTTTGTAGTGGCCTTGATGGTAGTGACACATTAACAGGCAAGAACACTCTCTGGTGAAGGAGGTGGTGGTGGTGGTGGTGAATCTTCAAACAAGGAGGAGGAGGACATTGGTTTAGGTCGGAACATTTAGAAACACGAACACACACACACGAACAGAGAAAGAGAGGACACGCAGTACCTGACATGTACAATCTTACAGAGAGAGTGTCGCTTACCGGTGTGTGTCGGTGTCCAGCAGCAGCAGCAGCAACAGAACTTACCGATCTTGATTATTGTTCATTTCCAATGTCCCTCCTAGTCAGTGGGTATTTTTAGTAGGGTCGATCGCGGACCTTCTTCAGCTGCACCTTCAGCCGTTTGTTCAGCACCTGAAAGCCGTTCATGGCGCGAATGGCCGCCTGCGCAGAGTCGGCGTTGTCGTAGGAGACGAAGCCTGGACAAGAAAAACAAACATATGACATCAGACAATGGACAAAATAGACAAATAAAACACACGCAAACACTCACCAAAACATTTACTCAGATTGGAGTTCTTGTCNCGCAGAGATGACATTACCGTAAGGGGCAAACAGGCTCACCAGGTCGACATCCGTGTACTCGGCTAATCAAAATTCAAAAACATTAATTAAAACAAAATCTCTTTTTTCCTAAAAATGCTTACCTGGCAAGTGATAAATAAACAGATTAGCCCCTTCCGGCCCTTCAACTTGTCTGGAAGCAGAGGAAGTTGAAGCTGCAGCAGAAACAGCAGCCAATTTGGCCAGAGCCGGCCCTGTGAGCGCCGAAGCGTAGGCGGAATGCGGTAGGGTGTGGTGGGGGTGGTGACCGAGAGTTGAGAGGCCGGCAAAGGAGGACAGGGGCAGGGCACTTTCTCCTAAAA